TAACCATTATGCCAACTGCTGGTCCTAAGGGCCTTCTTAACTCCTACAGGTGCCCTGGATCCTCTCATTCATGTGCACTCCAGTTCTCAGAAGGACTCCTAGTCCCCATGCCCTCATTCCATTCATCCCAGTTCCTCTCACCTTCAGCAGGCAGGGAGCATCTCTCATTGGGCTCAACAACTCAGGAATCCCAGGCCCTTGATAAGCCGGTGTCTCCTCCTCTCTTTCACGCTGGAAGTGAATAGCTCCAGCGGGCAGGCGGCACTCATACCGCTGTTTGTACTTAGAAGAGACAATCACCACGTCGGAAGCTTGGCTCTGGGGAAAAAGAGAGAGTAGGGGAATCAGGGAGGCGAAGAGAGGCTGGGATCAGGGAGAACAACGAGATCCCTCTTCAGACCCTGGGGAAGAGCCCAGTCGAGGACAGAATGAGCAAGTCTTCCAGCTGTGTGTAACGGTGAGGGGAGAGGGCATTCCCACTTCCCTACGGGGGCGGAGTCTGGGTGTTTTGATCCGGAACTGGGACCTCAAGGCTGACAGCCAGAAGCCCCACCCCTTCCCACCTCTCCCGGCCCCTGGCCCCCAGGGAATGGGTCTCAGTCTCTGATCCCGAGTCACTGGAAAAGTCCGACCTACTCTTTCCGACAGGCTCCCGGTCCAGCCTCTACAACTGCCCTTCTTCCTCTACCTTCCTCCCCACCCCCCATTCCTCTTCTGCCCCAACCCTCGCCTCTTGTACTTCTGCTCACCTGTCCTCCCATGACAGGCAACGGCAGGATCTCGATCCCATAACGCATCTCACTCAACTCTTCCAGGTTCAGGCTCCCGACACTGGCGGTCAGTCTTGCGGGTAACAGGAGCCCTAGAAGCAGCAGCCCCAACAGACTGGACAGCAGCGTTTCCGCCGCCATCTTTCGTTCCCCCTCTTATCTAAAGAAGCTTCTTCCGCCCTAAACCTGGCAGCGGCCTCACCCCGCCCACTAGGCCTCACGATTTCATTGGCTATACAACCTGTCTCTTG